AGCACCAAGCCCTGCCTGCCGGGGGAGAGCGCCCCCTGCGCAGCGCCCGGCCCTGCCCCTGCGTGCCGCGCTACGTAATCTCCATCTCCCGCAGTGCCGATCCGGGAGGACTCAAGGCCCCGATCCGGGCAGCCGGGCCCCATCCGGGAGGACTCCCCACCAGAGGATCCCTCAGGGGGGTCCGAGAGCCCCCCCGCCTCTGAGGGCTCCGACAATGACATCCTGAGGCTGGGAGCCCAGCTGAGCCCTGACTCCGCCCTGCTGGGCGGGGCTTCCCCTGGAGGGGAGGAGCCTCCAGCTTCAGAGGTGTCAGAGGTAGGGTGGTGGGGGGGTATCTATTAAGGGGGGGGTGGTCTGCACTGGATGCCCTGGGGTGGGGGATGGGAGTCGCCTGGGGATCAGGGGGGGGTCTCAGCTCATGGGTCTTTTCTCTCCCAGGACCCCCCGAGCCTCCTGGACGAAGCAGCTGCCCTGCTTCCCTCCCCCTCCATCAGCCTGGGGGTGGAGTTCGCAGACACGGTGAGGCCCTGACGCGACCCCCCCCCTGTTTCCTTAATCCTCGGTGCTGCCCACCCCCCGGCTGGGCCCTCCCCTGCGCCCCCACCCTCCTCGCCTGAGTCTCTGCTTCCCTCTGTACCCCCCCCACACCCCATTTCCCAGCCTGCCCCCCCCCCGATGAGTGCTCCCATTTGGTGCTGTGCTGGGGGCCAGGACGCCTGGGTTCTGTCCTCGGCTCTGGGAGGGGAGTGGGGGCTGGTGGGTTAGAGCAGTGGGGTCTGGGAGCCAGGACTCCTGGGTTCTCTCCCCGGCTCTGGGAGGGGAGGGGGGCTGGTGGGTTAGAGCAGGGGGACTGGGAGCCCGGACGCCTGGGTTTGATCCTTGTCTCCCTCGTGTCTCTGCAGGGGACGCTCTACGCCGTGACCCCTCTGCCTTGGTGTCCCCACCTGGACTCGCTCCAGCCCCTTCCCCCGGCCGGGCTGGACGTGCTGGCGCCGTGTGAGGAGTGCGGCAGCCAGGCCGAGAACTGGGTCTGCCTGGACTGTTACCGGGTGAGACGGTGCCCCTCACTCCCGACTCGCAGCCCCTGCCAGCCCAGCCCTGCCGGTGCCCCTCACTCCCGACCCGCAGCCCCC